GAATTGGAGTTGGAGGTTTGAGTAGGGAAAACCGGTAAGAAGAATCGAGAAAGACACTTACAGGCAGGTGTTTCAAGAGAGGACATTTAAAGTGAGGTTAGTAGAGAGAGGAAGTTCTAGCAAGAAGAAAATAAGAGTTTTGAAGGACAATTAGATGAAATACTAAAATAGAATAGCGAGCAGCTTTTGTCAGCAGGGGGAAGAAAAAAGGAGACTGTTTAGTAAAGTAGATATGACAAAGATAAAAGACTGACAAAAAAGAGAATTTCCCCTTCCCCTTCCCCTCTCCAGATGGGGGAGAAGGACTTCACAAAAATAAGGTAGAGAAATAAGAGGAAGGTAGAAGGTAGAAAAATACTCTTACTGAGAAGGAAAACAATTGAAGAAGTAAGCATAATGAGGGGGAAAAGTGCAAAAGCGTTTTGTAACTAAGTACATGACCATTTGTTTGTGCTCCTGTAGTTGATATTTCTTTGGCTGATTTTTGCCTCAAAACAGAATAAAGAAATGAGGATAGAGAGACAGTTATTTGAGCGCTAGTTTATATGAATGGTTTTGGTAACCTCGTCTGGATTATGTAATTAAATACTTCAAATTATCTTGGTTACTATCTATTTTATTTAGGCCATTTCTTCCCTGGGTATCCTGACATGTCTCTGGAACGGACATGGTGTGACTGTGTCTCAGTGTAAGGCTGTACCCTTTCTGCTCTGGAGATGCTCTTTCCGTGTGTAGAATGGACCTGGGGGAGAACCCACCTGCTTGCTTGAGGAACAGTCTTATGCTGCAGATAAACACAGAAATAGTTGGAAGGTAACAGGACTCTCTTTTAAAAAACAACATCTAAACTGCTATTTATGGAGTGATTCAGCATTCTGAATACCTTAAAATATTCCTATCAGGGAAGATTTTGAATTGTTTCAAATGCACTTGGAAAAATTCAGGTTCTTTTCACTCCCCATTTAAATGCAAACTGCAGAATGTGTTATAAGAAGAAAAAAAAATGCTGGGGTGAATAGTTCCCACATCCTTCTAACCTCAGAAATTAATCAGGTTAAACTTCAGTACTTAATTATTTCAGTAGTATAACACTAAGTGATGAACTTAATTTATGTCGATTCATCAAGTCATCGGGCCTCATCTACATAGAAAAAGGTAACCAGTTGAAATGCGTAAGTTAAAGAAAAAACCCACTCATGCCTGTGTAGAGATACATTAATAAGCTGATTCTGTAATATATTTCAAATCTGGTGCAATTTACCCATAGAAGCAGCTCCTGTACCACCTTCTAGCTGTAGTGAGCTCCCATTGTGTCTTGTTCAAGTTGAAAAAGAAACGAGTATCCTCCCAAATCACTGTGCTCTACAGTGTATACTGAACAGCCATGAAGGTTTCAAACACTTGTATCAATTGACTGTGATATTATAAAAAAAGAAATCCTGTCTCTTCTAGTTAGTAAGGAATATGATGTGTATCTTGAATCTAACCAAAATGACTAACTAGTAATTTTATTTAAGGGCAAGATTGTGAGTTTGCAGGAACTTTTCTCCAGAAAACTGGTGTGTATGAGTGCAGAAGCATCCTCTACCACTTTACATTGCTTTATAAAATGATAGTAGACAGAATTAGCTGTATGGGTATCAAAATAAGCAAGGAACGCTAAATAATTCTTACTTTTTAGGCTTCTGTAATGTCATCTCAATATAGAGCCAGTGAGCATGGCCAGGCCAGGCTGGAGTTGTGTAGTTTGATGCAATTGATGAAAGCGAATTAGTAAAACCACTGGACCATGAGCCTGTGAGAGTGCGAGTTTCTGCTGCTGTGCTATAGGCATAAAGGAAATATTTTCTTAAATACTATTTCCATTTTTGTTTAAGGACTTTGCGAGGGAAGCAGCATGGTGTAGTTCACATGATATTAATTTTATGTTTTTTTTCTTTCACTTGGAGCTTGTGTAAGGAATGAGATAATTATCCTTTAACTTAGCAATTAAATTCAACTGCGTATGCAACTACAGATGTTTATTCGGTGTTTGAAAGCAAATAGATAACCGTTCACTTGTGGTTTTTCTTTTTTTTGCATCATTATCCTTTCCCCCCAGTATACAGTTTCTTTCCTTTATGACACAGCACTAATACTGTGAGAATCAGAGGAGGAAATAATCATGGGACATGTGAATCAAGGATATTTTACTTTCTGAAAACTTGTACAACCTTTTGTCTTCAGAAATAAACACATACTTTTATGAAGCTATGAAAATAAAGGACGATAAATATGTTATTCTTTTTCTGAGAGTTTGTATGTTGACTCAAGAGGAAGTCCTGGCTGAGGTATGGATCCTTGAAAATGATGACCCATTACAAGACAGAGCTCAAATTTTATTCAATGGGAAGGTTACTGAAAGTATCAACTGTAATTATACATGAATAGTTACTGTCTATGTGAATGTGTATATAATGTCATTTGCATTTTAAATTTGTCTAGGAGCATCTTGGGGACATCTTGTTTTCTTGCATTTTAAAAATCTGAATAGCACCTGTAATTAAGGGAGAAAACTGAGCCCTGGAAGCTAGGTAGGACTTCCATCTATTGATCTGTGTAAACCCGGCTTATGCTGCCAGGGGAGAAGCAGTCAACTGCTGAGCTGCTTTGTCACTGACATAAGCTGAGAGAGGATTTTTTTTTTTGTGTGTGTGTGTCTATACTGTTTATACACCAGTCTATAGACCTGCTGGCTGGTTGAATTTTAAAGAGTGCGGAGGTTTAAAGACTTGTCCCCTGAGGGATGCTCCTGCCAGTTGGGAAGCGAGTGGAGGCTGCTCCGCAGAAGTTGTGTGCACGTGTGCTGGCTGCGGGGGCACGGAGCAGAGCTGGGGAGATACTGTCCTGCAGCTCAGCCTGGAAAATGCTGCAAAACATACCCGTAATTTTCAGGTTCTTTAGTCAAAATATTGAGCTAATACCTTTGGTGTGTGGTTTTTATTTTTGTTTTCTTTTTCTTGTGTGATAATTTATTCTGAGAGAATACAATGGGGAACATAGATGAATACATTTCCATACCCAATTCTGAGTCAGTGCTAAGCTCACCAGGCAGCAATTAAAATCCTTGGTAGTGAGGAGAAAATGACTTCGTATAGTGTGAGAATAGGTGCAGATTTGGAAAGAGAATTTTAATGCAGTATAAAATACTATTTCTTTGGAATGGCAAAAACAAGCTTTATGAACCTGAAGTGAGAGACTATCTAGAAAGGTTTTGGAAATTTCTGAGTTAAAAGTTTTGATTAGCCTGTTCTGCTTGCTTTCTTTTGTTAGAGTTTATTATTACTACTACCAGCATTGTGTATGCTTGTTTCCTGCCTACAGAAATCCAAACGTTTACCTGCCCCATTTGTATTTTGCTCCTCACCCTTCTGCAGTGACCACTCACAGCAGTCAGGATGGTGCTTGAGCAGTTTCTTTTGTAGAGTATTATATGTACTGCTATTCATAATTAACTTAATAACCTTTCCCAAAACACAACGTGTGGCTTTATCTTTATCTGTGCTGACAAGGTAAAAGTTCCAAAGATTTCTTGAACTCTATTGTATGACTTAGAAATTCTAGAACAGTTGATTTTTCCATTTTGTACTGTATGATGATTTACTGGGTCGCATTATATACCTTTAAAATGTTGCAACTGGCATATGTATGTTGTACTCAGAAGCATCTTTTCCCTTAACTATTTGTCGCTTGCTGATTAACTTGCATGGGTTCTTCATGTTTTACACTATCTACGGAGCCAGGCAAATGTTTGAAGTAAATAGTCATTGTGGTGTGTAGGAATTTAAATAGATAATTTCCCCTAATGGGAGTTGACTGTTCAACATGCAGTAAGCAGAGAGTTCAGGCTAGAGAGTGCTAACATCTTAGATCGTGTTTTTAAACCCCCATCTGCAGCTCTGGAAATTTGCAATCAATATGCATTTTTCTGAAAACACACACCTTGCAGGATAACTCGTGCATACAGCAGTATATGGCTGTTGACCTGCTGCAAAAAGGGAATTCTGTAGCTTTGACCAACTGTGTTGATGTCGACTGTCTCTTCTTAGCTGAAGCATTTCACAGAGGGTTTGTTTCCCCAGTTGGGAGCAAGGAAATAAAACCCATTTTTCTGGGGTCTTATAAGGTCATTGTTTAATATTTGCTGCTAACTGATCTGGTAATTTACCTTTTTTTTTTTTTTTTTTTTTTTTTTGAGAAAAATGTTGACTAGTTTGAGAGCATTTTTATATTTTAATTAACACATTTTATTTGCCACTAAACAGCTTCTTAAATAAAATTTAAAGAGTGACATTATCCTTTCATATTATGGTACAAATGTAGATCTGGTGGATTTCCACCCCCTTCCCTTTATTAGTAGGAAGGCTTGCTTGTGAAACCCAAAGGGTTAATCATATAAATTTCTCCTTTGGACCAGCAGACAATTTCCATCATTTTCAGCATTTAACTATGGAACATGTATAGAGTTGTTATACCTCTCTGTAATTCATTCTGCTGCCAACTTCATTCCCTTTTCTCTGCCTGCATTTTAATTGAAACAACATTTGTATTTTTGAGCCAGGATCTGTCAGAAGTCCCTGTGGCTAGTCTGTGGTACAAGTAGCAGCAGACGTGGCTTACCCATATGGTGTGGTGCTTCTTGTAAAATCCATATGGCCTTGTTGAAGGGAATCCCAGCGGGGATGTGAAGGGTGTTAATACCCTTCAGGCCAGGCCTTTCCCTCCTGGGGCTTCTATGGCATTGTCTTTGCAATCTGCCAAAGCACAAACTTAATTCCTTTTTAATAATCAATTATTTCAGTCCAGGAACGTATGCTGTATTTTTTTGCAATCATATATTCCTTGAACTTATTATTTGTTATGAGTATTTTTGGATATTTCTTAAAAGCAAGCTGTAGGGCAGTTGCTTTCAAAAGCCTTTTCAAAAATCCTAACTTTCTTTCTTTTACTTATATTTACAGGAAGTGCTGAACAGTGTTCCAAAGTTCTGCTTTCCTTTTGACATTGAAAGGTATGTGGTACAGTTACTCTTTATTTAAAAATATTTCATGGAAAATGATATTTAGCATAATCGCAAAGAAAGATTTAAAGAAAAAGAAAACATGTTGTACTCCCTAAACTTGCACCCGCGGATGAGAAGAACACGTCCTTTGTTGTTCAAGTAAGTATGAAATCACTAGTAGGAAATTATCACAGCAAAACACAACCTTTACAGAATTTTAGGAATATCTCTTTCAAGGTAGAGCTACATTCCAGCTCCCAGTTTTGTCAATTATAATTGTAAACACCATCTGTGTTAATATAAGGATGTAACATAGTTTCCTTCAAACGACAAGCATCATAAAAAAAAAAAAAAAAATGTTACGGTGTACCGGGATATAAAACCTCACCGAGCAGTACTGAAAATGTGTTATTTGAGTTCAAAGAAATTAAGACTTTAATTGCATGGAACTAACTGAATATGCAATTGATTTTTCTCAGAGGAGAATCAAGACCATTTTTTATAATTAATTCGCTCTTACCTTTCTGGTATCAGTTACAGTGTGTCTTCCATGTAATGCTGCTAGTCATTTAAATTGTTTATATAAGACATTTTTATTAATTAAAATACTTATTTAGGCTTGTCAAAGTGATTAATGGTAATTAATTTAATAAATTGTACTTACTTAGTTTGGAAAACTCGTATTGTCCAAATCGGGAAAGATTGACTTAGAAGCTTGATTTGCATAATTAATGAAAGATACACCCAGGTAGTGTGTGGACTGAGCCAGTTTCAGAACAACATTGACATCAGTTGTAGATGGAGACTCAAAGATGAGAAGGATCTATGGGATGCAAGAAGCTGCTGTCAATGGAGTAAAAGATGGTGTGAGTATAGAGGAAAGAAGAGAGGCTTTGCAGAAAAACACACTGGTAAAATAAAGATCTTCATAAACACAACTTTCCTGAAGTAAACTAGGTTCATTTAGTCTTTTATAGTTGGATTTAATTAAGTTGTCTGGGTTTTAAACTGGTTAAGCTCACTGTCCTTTAAGCTGTTTTAACGACTTAACTAATATGGTTGTCAGTGTTGGCTTTAAAGCATTAAAGTCTTTAATGTGCTTAAGATATGTACACAATTCTGTTTAAAATTGGTAATGAAGATGAATAATGGAACTAAAATTTGAGGATAACGGAAGAAGGTGAGGTTCTGTTGCTGCCATCCAGTGGCAAGAAGATAATCAGTGTAAGCAAATAATTATTTTCAAATAACTCGTATTGCATTAACTATTTGTATTGAACCATTCAGAAGACAGTTCCTTGTATGAGATGGATAAGCTTAATCAATAATCTGTGGGAATACATGAATTTATAGCATAGCTAGGTATGTGTTTTAGCTGAGTATCTGAAGAAGAAAAAAAAAAGGAAAAAAGAAAAGGTTATGGAATGCTTGTTGTTTGTCTGTTAATACCCTCCCATGCCCCCTCCCCAGACATGCTTTTTGACTCTTGACCTCATACTTGACTGTAAAGCAGTGCTCTTAAAGGTGCAAAATTTCTACAAATTTCATAAAAATTGGCAGTTGGACAGAAGGAGGAGAGCTTCTTGGAAGCTGAGAGATACTGACGAGAGGAACAAAACCAACGTGCTCGGTCTGACCTGCTGACTGCTCAGGCGGCACCATGGTATCTTTAAAATTAGCCACCGCACTCACAGCTTCCTGCGTAGCTGGGAGCTGAGTTTTAGAGGATTTGTGGGAGAACCAAAGGCAATGCGGGATCATGAGAGTATAAAAGAGCACGGACAAGGAGGAGGGGCAGAGCTATTGTGGGGAAAAAGACAGAAATATTGGAAGCTGATTCAAGAAAGCAGGAGACTGTTTACTGGCAAGCTATTTGTGTGAACAACTTACTGGCCGTGTGGTGTGTTTTACCATTTGCTACTCAGTTCAAGCATTTTCTATAGTGTAGACATATATTACCACTTTTTTTCAGTTGTCTTCTGCTTTCTCAGTTTTAGTTTTTGTTTTGAAATGAGGACTGATAAAGAAAAGGATTGAGAAAAACACTCTTGTAGCTCCTTTTTATATGGCTTTTTTCCAGTGGACATTTAACATATGACAAGCATTTTAGTTTTTGTCTAGCCATAAATGTGCTTTTCACTCATCTGGTGGAAATATATATATATATATACACACACATTAAAAAAAAATATTTTTTTGTGTAGGGGATAATGATAGACCAGACACCTAATACCCTCAAGTTTTTTACAGGCAGTTTCAATGACAATTTCTGTACAGAAAGCTTTGATTGAAGTGAAACACAAAGTATCTGTTTCACTGATTTGAGGATATTGTACTTTAAAGAGCATAGTTTCTCAAGCTGTATTGTGTACTATACGTATATAAAACCCTTCAAGCAATATCTGATCCTAGTAAGAGCTAGAAATTACCAGTGCAAAATTGATAACTTCCACTGATGCTGCTGATCAAGATACCTAGAACAAAAAATGTGACGTGATTCCGTAGACTGCTTCTGGACTCCTACGATACAGCAGAGTTCGAGGGAATGGAGTGTCCTTTCTGTTAACTAGTTAAATAAAACTCATTAAAGTAGGAAATCCATATTCTTCAAATTATGGAAATAGGAAAGTAAAAGCCCTGTTAAAGCACAGTGGAAAGATCATCGTCACCTGTTTTCTTCCAAGTCACCTGTATTAATCAGTGAATGAATTGAAATGTGAATGAAATGAGAACATGTATTTTGGTTTTGTTTCATTCACTATGCTACAGTGATCGTAGACAGAGATCCAGATTTAGTTCTTACTATTTAATGCTGCTTACATTGTCTTGCCAGACATACTTTACATTTTGTGCATATGTTATAAATAACTGTACACTACTCATTCTAATTATCAAAAGTACAGACTGTGAATGGTGATTAAAAATCTAGAGGTAACTCCCATTAAATTTAAACTTAAAGTCAAGCCAAAAAAGGCACAATAGTGTAATGTTTTGACCATGACTTAAACTTTGAGTTTTATATATAATTTTTTTATTGAAAGCAAGCACACAATTTCATTACTGCTGGTTATGGCTTACATTTTATTTTGAAAGGGTTAAGAAACAAATTGCATCATAGAAGTTCTTGAGCATTTGCTGCAAGAATCTATGTCCTTTTTTTGTGAATAAATTATTTTAGTCTTAATAAATGGCACAATTGTTTAACATTCTAACAGTTTCCTTGTAGACATTTACAAATAAGGTCCCTTTTCTCTGCTACAGAATTCCTTTCTCTGTTTCTTTTCATCTGGTATAGGAGGATTTAACATTCGATAACATAGACGTTTTCACTTGCTTTTAATGTTTGCTAAACTAATATTAATACATCAGAAAAAGCATCTTGTTCCTTGAATCCTTTATGCAAATTCTGCATGGTTTTCTTCACTTTTCTTTCTCCAGCAGCCTTCTGTATTTTCACTCTCAACCCAAAACTCGTGTGTAACTTTGCAGAGAGCCCACACCTCGATCTCTGCATCCCTCAGTTATTTAGCTGGATGATGACTAGTGAGCATGCAACTTCTCCTCTTGTTCCTTTTGGACCTGTTTCAAATTCAGTCCTAAGTTGCAGTATGTCACTGCTTGACCCCTCAGTTTTATCTGTGCTTGGAATCTCTCTCTTTTGTCTCTGCCATAAATACTTTCACTCTCTCCTTCCATTCCTCTGTCTTTTCCTTTTCAGGATGTGTTTCTTCTGGTGAATGTGTAGCATGTGTGGCTTTTTAGCTACCACACTTTGGAAACTGCCTGTAGGATCAGCATGGAGACAATGATTGTGAAGTGGATCTGCTGATGATGCTGTAGAAGATTTCTCATTAGCAGTAGAGTATTGCTTAAGTATGGGAATTACTGTGCATATTATTTAACTCATGATCTGTTAGGGTCAATGAGTAATGATGGCAGGAGTGACATCACTTTCACTCTCCTGTTCCTGGCTAATGCTGTTTATGTTGGTATTTATGGTAAAATCTGTGTGCAGAAACGCAGCTATGACGAAGACAAGTGCAAAACAATGACTGGAGAGATCGTTGGATTTGCAGATCTTGTGAAAGGAAATTATAAGATACCTTACCCCAAAATTTTTGCCTTCAAAGTAAATAGTTGAGAATGAAAAGTAAATAATTGAGAACAAATTTCAAGCTGTACAGATGAAGTTAAATAAACTATAGCATTTCCTATCGACTTCAGTCATTCCAGTCAGTCTGCAGGATGGGTTGTGAACTCCAAAATGTGGCAGTAGTTTTATACAATTGAGTCCTTTCCATCCTTAATCTCATTGCGTTATGGTATGTGCATATGTAATATCAGATACATATGTAAGAGAGAAGTCTTTGTAAGGACAGGTTGCGGAATGAACTGTGCACTGTGGAAGAGTGTAAGTATTGGTTTCGAATGTGGGTTATTTGGTTTCCATGTGTGTGCAGAACTGGGCCCATCTGAGAGGAAACCTGGGCACACCGAGGGAGCTGTGGCGTGCTTGGATAGACCCTGGGCTGGGTACGGTGGCTGGGGCCCCTGGACAGAGCAGGCTTGTGTTGCGACTTAAATACACTCAATGAGACTCTTTACTAACTAGTTGTGGTTTCTTTTACTGCTTCTGTTGTTTTGGAAACATAACCCCAATTATAAGCTAACTATGCTTTTTATTTATGGGAATTTCTTTTTTTGGTGGTAGCTTTGCACATTTTCATATCTTCTGTGATTTTCTTCTGGTTCTTTTTCTTTCTGATGTGTAAGGAGTTGGGGTTTCTGGGAAGTAGAGCTCAAGTTAGATAGCTCAGTTGGAGCAGAGGAGCCCTCCACACTGGGAGTCTGAGCTGTGGAGTCTGGGATCATGGAGTGGGCTTGGAAGTGGAGAAAATAGTCCCTGAAACTTAGATTTGGAGATGGCAATTAGTTGAAGGAGATGGCCCAACCTAGGGTCACGAGTCTCTTCATCAGCTTGTACCACTGCCTTAACATCTGTTTTTCAAATTCCTGCTTGAAACAGTTTCTAATCTATTCTGTCATCTGTGGAGAATTAGGGTGAATAACTGGTGGGGTTTGCTTTTCAGCATTAGATTGGGAGATGAAATACGTTTGAAATTTTCAGGTTTAGGTTGCAGCTGCCAAAGCTTTAATCAGAACTGTATACTTCCGTTACATTGGTCAAGTATGTGTATGTGACACCTTATAATTAATGATACCAGTAACTTTGTTTTCTGTTAAAAATAAGTAATCAAAATCTGTATTCCCATGCATAAAGTCTTTAATTTTTTGAAATTCACTGAAAAAATGAACTCTCTGAAAAATCTCTTTGAAATTAAAAACCTCTTAAAAGTTCCTAAAATTTGAAGAAAAAATAATTTCAAACATCTTCTGTGTCCTACACAGATTAATTCAGAAGAAGAGCAATTCTTATTGAGAACAAGGGATAAATTTAATGATTAGACATGCTGGTTTTTGTTCAAAGAGGAGATTTAATTCCTGCCTTAATCAGCTCTCTCAAGGTGGCCTTAAAATGAGGCCTGAACAATAGCTGTAGTGTAAACAAAAATCTTTAAACTGAGTTTTCACCTACTCCCTGGGTCCCAAAGTGCCTTTTCTGCATTGTAGAGATACGTACTTAGAAAATGTTGAAAGCTACTTTTATTCCTATAGTAAACTGTAATAACCTTGAAAAAGCCCATTGTAGTCTGCAGAGTTAATAAGTATTTACACACATTCCTTGCTATTAGTGATTTATTATTGTTAAACTAAGATTAAATATAAGCATGCGGGGCAGGAGTTGAAAGTAAGTCAAAAGCAAGGCAGAGGAGTGAGTGAGGATGAGGTCAGCGATGGCTGGCAACGGTTTGTGCCTGCTCTCCCCGTGCAAGCGAGTAGATCACGCTCTCTTCAAATAGCCAGCCAGACCAGTGTTTTGCAGCAAGTTTTTGAAGCTCGACCAGTTGATCCTGTGCTCTGATAGAAAGTCTGGATAATTAGGGAATTCTGCTGTGTAATAATTGTGTTTTACCTGTGTTGATTTTCATGTTAAGAAAAACTTGAGAGGCATCATTGTTGTGGTTCAGTAGCATTGCCAGGAGTTGCTGCCTGCCTCAGAAGGTGAGGCTTGACTTCTGAACAACCTGAATGTGCTGCAACGAAACAGAGAGGCATGAGCCCCAGGTCACGTAGCCAGCATTTGTCCACATGATGGTACATGCAATATATATGTTAAAACTGTAGTGCTAGCACTTTTTGAATGTTTTATGTGTCTGGTTTGTATGTTAGTGGTTATACAGAAATCCCCAATCATAATTTGTTTGTTTCTGTGAGGCTTTCATATAGTCAGTTTTAATTCTGCTGAAGAGGAGTAAAAAACTAAGCATCCTTGCTGCCCACGCATCTTAAGTGAACTTTTCAAATTAGAAACAGAATTAATTCAGTATTTTAAACTCTGATCAGAAAACATGGTCCAGATGGATGGTCACTGGCTTCTGTTAGCTGTTCCTTTGAAGCAAATGGGACCAAATGCAAACTTTTGGGTTCTTTGTGGAGATACGGTTTTAGCCTTGGACTTTTTCTCAGTTCAGAAATCTGTAACATGCTGCTTACATCTGCTTCTAAACTCTGTGGGAAGCAATTTTCAAGCTGCGCCACTTTTACACTGACTGTGGAAACATGGAGTTATCTCTCTTAAAGAAGCAAGGGGAAGAGGTCGAGTTGGAGGTGGTGAGATGGCATTGGAATTGTACTATCATAACTTGGCTGGGCTATTTTTAATAGAGAATATCAGAATTTAAATCTCATTTTTAAAGTGGTCTTGTGTAGTGACATTTTTATGTATGCTTTAATTGCAATACCGGTTATTTTCCCATGTCATCTTCAGGTTTTGGGAAGGGAGAAGGCAAATAACTGAAAGCAAGAGATCCTTGCTGATGTGAGTTTTTTGGGCTATGGAATTGTTTTCAAGCAGTAACGGAGTAGTCATTTGCCCAGCATGTACAGAGTACATTAAAAGCAACGCCTACATAGGTGGGCATCTATTGACAGTTGCTTTTTGTGAATTATTAATGATCTCTTTGGGTTAAGATGGTGCATAGAAACCCCAGCCTAACCATGCCTGATGTTTTGCAGCATAACAAAAAACCAGTCGTGGCTGCGGAAAGCTCCAAGCAGAACGGTGGGCTGCAGCAGAGCAGAGAGGGGATGGGAGCAGGAGGCAGCCGAGGCCGCTGTGCCTGGTGTGTTACCGGTGCTACCGACTGACCAGCTATGGCTGAGTGACTGTGTAAGCCCCCGGCCACAGTGTGCACAGGGATACTGAAACCATACCGCTGTGGTTGTGTCCGTGCTGATCTGCTCTCAGGAAAAAAAAGGACAATGCAAAGGTGTGAAATAGAAAACGGTGTCATTGGCAGGGGAGTAGTAACGCATTGTTATTGATGGCGCTCTGTTATATCAAGCATAACATACAGGCAGCCTGCTACCCATGCAAAACCTGAAAAATGAAGGACTGAGTGAAAGCCGTTGAGCGTTTACTGTGTTTGAAGAGCGTGCTAGGTTGTTACAGTCTATCGAAGACAAGTGAGGAAAATGCTTGTCTTAATGATTTGAGTTTAATCAGCTAACTAAAAAAAGTCCATTAATTATCATGGGTTTCCAGTGATTATATTGGACTAAAGATACCTTGTAATGTCATATATGCTCAGCACAGGCTTTTGTTTCAACCTCGTCATTGGATGTTCACAAGGGACTAGATAAATCGAAATGAGTGCGAGACTCTGCAGGCAGGGTAGTGGTGTCACTTAACTAATCTTTAAACTTTTGTCATACACATGTTAAGCAGTGTAATGTGTTTGTGTCCCCTGTAACTTCTCGCGCCCTTTGGTCTTCTTCTACTTTCTTCTTTCCTAGGGGAAAATGTTTATATTTTATTTAGGTAGAGATTAAAAAAAAAAAATCGCAACAGCAAAACCAAACCCATATTGCAGGGGATAAATTAAAAAAATATTTCATGCTCTTAGATTGGAAGACTGTGAGATCTGTGATGATTCTCAGCTTTTGCGGGAATTCATTTTCAGCTTGGCGTCTAAAAATGAACCATACACGACCTGTGTTAATCCTAGCACTTACTAGCAAGTGCTTAGGTATTCTGCTGTAGACAATCATGTAAGAATGGGAAAAGAATAGAGGACAACAGAATTACAAGCAGAACAGCTATGTTTTATATTTTCAAACCTCCATGCACTCTCTGTCATAACTTCGTTTTCATTTGATTTTAATTAAATCTTTAAAGGTCCCTTCTAACCCAAACCATTCTATGATTCATTCTACGCCACACTTTACCTCTCCTGGCTGAAAATGCTGCGTCTGACTAAAGCTGATTCTCTTTGGGAGATTTTGGAAATGTGCAGTATGTATTTCTGTGAGTGAACTTCAGATACAGTTTATTGGCATCTAAAATGCTTACATTGATTATATTTTGCAATTTCTATGAAGATCACTGAAGTTTGGCCACGTTGAAAAGCGGATCTGTCCCGTGCTCTCAGTGATCCCCTCTCTGAAGGTGATAAATCGCACAAGAGGGAAAGGCACCTGGCTTGAGAGCGTAAAGAAGATAAGAGACACGTCATGGCAGTGAAGATGCCATTTCTTCTTAAAAAGAAATTGCGAAAAGTTTTATACTGTCAAGCAGAAAATGGGGGGTCAGGAATGGAGGTTGGGATTGGGACCTGGAGATCAGTACGAGGAGTCAGAGGTGACATTCGAGGGGAGGTGCAAACTGAGAACAAAACGGATTAGCCTGCGCTGCTGAGGGAACGCTGGCCGAGCATAGTTTGGGGATGAGAGGAGTTGGAACATCAGACAGGGAAATTTTGTGTAAACGTATTGTGTCTCAAGTGGGTATGTGTTTTGATACAGCCTTGAAGATATTATTACTTATTATGTTAGCTCTTGTGCTGTTTGTCCTTGATTATTTTCTGGCTTTTATATTTCCAGAACCAAACAAGTTTACACTGGAAAATGAGCTTAGCAAAATGTTGTTTGTTGGGCAATGTGTAGTGTAGTGCAAAAAAAGGAGGAAGATATGTGTGGGTGCATGGGAAGGCTACAGGTTTAAGCAATGAAGCTATTCTGAAGGAGAGGGTAAAAAAAAAAGCAAACTAGTTTTGTATGGCTGTCTTAAGCCAGGCCTGTATAGTGACGTTTAATAAATTATTTGTAGAACTTTAAACCTTTGTTTTACTTACCATTTTCCACTGTTGAGGTGTGCTCAAAGCCAACAAGCTGTGGCAGGCTTGTACTGGCTCTGCTTAGGCCTTACTTAGGAAAAGACCTTCTGAAATGCTCTGTCCATTCAGACTGGGGGCCAGATCCCGTGGAGCACATCAGCCGGAGCATGGGGCTGGGGTGGCAGCCAGAGGCATGGCTGCAGGAAAGACATGGGCTCTTCTGTGCCGAGAGGAGGGAGTGGGGTGCAGGAGGAAACCTGGAGGGTGGGAACAGAGAGAAGAATAGTGAGTCTTGAGCATGAAAATGCTTGAGACCAATGACTTACATGCTCATGTTTTATGTGATTTGTGGTTTTATGCTCTGTATCTAATTTTTCAGGGTGTCCCAAAACCAAGTAGGACAGCATTTTACCTTTGTGCTCACCGACATTGAAAGTAAGCAAAGGTTTGGATTTTGCCGTTTGACGTCAGGAGGCAAGGTCTGCCTCTGTATTCTAAGGTAAGTTGGTACGAGAAAAATTGAGTCAAAGAGTGAATATAAGAAAAATACAAGAAAAAATTATCTTTTGCAAATCCTCTGATAATGTGCTATACTTCTCTATCAGGGTATCATTTCTCTGTAACAGTGTTACCATTGATTTCACATGAAAAGTGGTCCCAAGCCTCATGTGATGGTATTTTTGTGTGAGGCTAAATAATGCTATATAAGTAACATGAAATCTCTGCTTAGAAGCCGAGAACAATACACTGCAGCTTTAGAGGCTGTGAATATTATGAGGATATTTTTACTTTCTAATGAGACCTTTGACGAGTATGCAGTCAATTTAACAATAAAGTGCACTATTCTGTATTCCTCTCCTTGGACATACGATTTTTTGATCATGTCTTCCATGTTCTTTGGCCAGACGATATCTAATACAAGAAACACCAGAGCTAGGTAATTCTCAATAAAGACCATGCAGCTTTGCTGCAGAAGAGATACTTATGATGGAGAAATTGACCCCAGTGAAATACTTTTTCTCCCTCTGCTTATTCTTTCTTCTCCTATAAGATAATTGTTTTGGTAATGAAAAAACCAATTGTTTAGCTGTCCTAAAACCCTTTTAATTAAATTAATTAAAAGGCAGAGTGCTTTAATTAAAAGGCAAATTTGCCACTTCAATTAAGAGCCTAGCAACCTGTTATTTCCATAGAGGAAATGGGAACATCCAGTTCAGGAGCACATGAGAAGAACAAGACTGAAGTATAGTCGAAGTATAAAGTGAGAATCCCCAAACACAGAGTGAAAGAGGAGCCATGTGCTGCCAAAGAGCTAAATTGGCAGAAGAGGGTCAACTTGGAGAATTTTGGAGGGAAAGCTGAGAAGCTTATGGAGAAAAGCAGAATATCAGGTATTTGGACAACATGGAAGTTGGGCAGTCATGGAAGATGTCATTAGGATAGACCACATGAGTTAGGGAGACAAACCCAACGTTGACTTGTAAAAGAATATCAGAAAAAGAACATACGGAGAGGGGAAAAAGAAGACCAGACAATATAGAAACTTGTAGAGTAGTGCTTAAAATTCTCGGAAATATCGCATCAAGACTTTTGTGAGCTTTTAAACAGATTCCAAACTAATGTTGAGAGCCAGTAGACTGGACGTTTTTGGACAGGTAGTTTAAAAATAAGTATTTGCTGTAAATATTGCAAAAAATAATAATTACTACCATATAATGAAAATAGCAAAAGGAAAAGATTTTATTCTGGGAATTAACTGACTTTCTGTGATCCTGACAATACCTTTTTCCTAATACTTCAGAACAATTTAATTCTTAGGATTTTGGAGTGTATAATACTTAACCCCTTTCTCTGTGATACCTTTTGTTGATATATCTTATTAAGGCCCAGAGAGAGAACGTATGTGTATGCTTTTAGCTCTTTCCTCTGAGTTAACCTTTTCTTCCCTCATTGAGCTAGAAACAAAATTTTTTACTTGTACTCCTAACAATGTCTGTCTGACTTCTGATGCTATAATAGCAAATATTTATTCAGTTAATGCACACTGAACTGTGCACATTTAAATACTGTATGTAGTGCTGCAAAGCAAAGGACACAGATTATCAGCTGATGTAAACTTGGATATTTCTTTTAACATTTCCCCACAGGCATGCATCAGCTAAAGAATAGTCAATCGTCTGTTACTTGGCAGAAATAACTAGGAAAATGAAAAGTGGCAAGCTATAATTTTTCACCGAACCGTAATCAAAGCATTGCCTTTATTGCTTTTATTGTGACAATTTCAAATTTACAGTGCATAACTGAATGCGTAACAGCACTAGCCTCATAGAATTGTACTTCTAGCTTGGTAGTCTGTTTCTATCCAATTTGTGTTTGTTGTGTTTAGCTCAGACAGAAAGAATGCATCAGTATTTCCATCTGATGCATTTTAGTATCCAATCTGGTTTCTACTCTGAATCCAAGATTCATTTGAAGTGACCAAGTGAAAGAAGGCTCACTACTGGATTTCTTTTGGCATTTTTTCTGGTTTTCCCTTGTGCATGCTTGTTCATCTTAAATTAACCAAAAATCAAAGACATCTTAATAAATGAATGCTATTTTTATATATAAAGAATGTATATGCATGTTCACACTTGCTCTCTTCTTTACATAAAAATATAATAAATTTGTATTCACTGTGTGTATATGCACGTAATGACTCTGATGTATGAGCCATTAAAATTACTTGTCTGTCACAGATATGTACACAATAGTCATAGACTTTTATATAAATGCACAAATGCAGGCATACGTAAATACCATGTCTAACTACAGATATACGTATGCACATACATGTATCTCACCTCAAACAAGAGGACTATATTAGGATTGCTGACTGGGGCTTTAACAAAGACAACTAAAGATAGTTGAATACAGAAGAATTAACAAAATGGAATGGTCATAACTAACTAAAATCTAAATAAGAATCTCTGAAAAAAGCAGCAGGAACAAGCCAGTCAAAGTGATGAGAATGAAATACTATAGAAATTTGGGTAGGCTGATGAGTGGGGAACAGGACACAACTTTTCTCTTGTGAATGTCTGTTGTGGATGGTACCAGGCCATGTGTTAACGTATGCCAGGGCAGCTAAAGAGATAGGATTTCAACTGTTGAATGGGATTCTTAACCGAAAACTGAAGAAGAGGCTGCTTGTCCTCAGGTTTTACACCAACAACCTAAAGCTGCTTCTAAGATTAAAATTGTGTAGCTTATGGGACTTCTTTCTATAATTCGTTCTTCATCTGAAAGAGTAATTAAAGGAAATAATCTTTTGGTTTGCAGCTGCACGGTCCTGCTTTAAATTGGGTAGTTTGAAACGGAAAATATGCTTGTACATACAAAATTCTTCTACAAGTTTTATGTTTTTTTTTTTTTACATTTTGTATACACATGTATATGAACTGTGTAAACAGAATTTTCTCCCAAATCAGAAGATTTTGTTCAAGTTCTCTGTATGTTTATACAGTGAAATATCTACCTTGGGGGATTTTTATCTCAGGCATTTTTGTTTGAAGAACTTAATTGTGATACAGTATTGTCTAAAATGATCATGCAGAGCTTGACTGCAGTTGTCAAATTCAAAGTGCCAGTAAATGCAAAACCGTAGTAAGATGAGAAAATAAATCTTGGATTATTTTTAAGAAGTTTTTTGTGATTCCTTTGCAAGGTTGTTGTTTGTTTGTTTGTTTGTTTTTTTCCTTTAAACTGCACGGCTGCTTTGTGAAGCTCTTGATGTGAAGCTCTTGATGTGAATCCTACTGTGTCACCTCCTCAAACTGTAAACTTCCTCTCCACAAACTGTTGACCTAAGGCATCCCAGTAAGAACGAGGGGTACCACAATAGCAATATCATAATATACCTTATTGTGCTCATATTCTATACTGGATCTTTTCTTGTAGTTTTACTTTTTATATTTTAGTTTAGATAATAATTTTCCCAGTTGAGATTTGAAGTGGCACAGTAGAAGCTTCGGTGTTCACTTTTGAATAATAGAAGGAGACTTAATTCCTCTGGGTATTGTTTCTAAATATCACTGCTGTTTGCAGTAGCAATAATACTTTCTGGGTTTACACAAAATTTTTTATGAATTAGATGAATGGATTTGGTACGAAATGTAAATAATTTGACTGAAATTTGTTTTGTTAAAAATCTTGAAACTGTTGATGGACTCTGAGACTGACCTTATGTATCCAGAGGAACACAAAATGCATCATTAAAATGCTCAGTCTTACATTTCATTAATTTTATGACTGTAAAATTGTCACCTACGTTTCCAAATGAAATGCTCTAATAAGGAAGACAGGTTTATGTGGTAAGCCTTTGTAGTTCTTCAGTTCACACCATGCTTGAAGCTTTCTCGCTCTTCCTTTAGGCAAATCCCTTAGAAGCAGAATGTTTCAATTTTACACATTTTGTGTCAATTTTCCAGACAGAAAAGTAGCCCCTAGACATTAGACATTTAGCTACGGAAAGGCAGTTTCCTTAGTTTTATTTGATTACTAGTTTTTGCTGATAGTTCAGGACTGTTAGTGGTTACCTGACTATTTGACAGAAAACATTTCCTCTCCTTTATTTAACCTTTGACTCATGAATGTAAAAGTTTTGTCAGAGCTATAGTAGAAGCACCAGTGAGGTGGAAGTCTACTTACAGCAACAAGGGTTATGCGTGACTTTGAATAAAAGTCTGGGCTCCTGCCTTGTGGCTCATTTGGATTAAAAGAAAATGCTAAGTACGTTTTTAATTAACCATGAAATATATCTTGGGCTCTTGCTTTTGCGACAGGCAGTGGCTGTACTTTTAAATAAAGACCACTATATTCTCAACCAGGGAATACATATCTATTAAAACAATGTTGCTTATGTTTTGATGGTTTTCTTTATTATGGGAGAAATGTTTTGTGGCAACTGTAGAGAAATTGTTGTTGCATGCTGTTGGAAGTTGTATGTTTGTCATGTATGTTTATTTCTCAAACAGTTGTCAATTGTAAGGTGAGGAATGCAATGCAATGTGTACAATTAAAGAAAAATAAACAAGAAACCAATAATGGTTTAGGTTTAAGAATCTAAATTTTTTTTATTTGAAGTTTAGGCTTCTAAATACATTAAAATAGAAAATTAAAGCCCTGTTTTCCCTCTGTTTTATCTACTGTGAAGGGGCTTCATTCATAACCTTTTGATGTTTTTGTAAGACAGCCAATTAACTATGAAATGCACTGCTCATAAATAATTTCATGAATACAAGTATGATGGTAAGGTCTTTCTAGTAATGGACTTTAATTTTGATTTTATCTGTTGTTAAGGTGTTACAGTTTTGAGTTAGGAGTAACATATCACACATCTCCTCTGTTAAATTCAGCCATTTCAAAACTGTTTTTTGCACATGGTGCATTTTTGTACTGATTTGAAAAAAATTGTTACCCAACCTAACAGATGTTGATGGACACTTGTGTGCCGGATGACTTTTCTGTACATAGACTAGTTCTGTGCTAAACAAAGATTAAATAATTTTGCAAGATTTGCTAACAGGACAAGCTAAGAGGATTATTTTACCTGTAATGCTTCTGGTTTTTAGCTATCCACACACATAAGTGGCATATATGGTACTTTATCTGATATGATGTACTGGGTAAAGATGTAAAGCCTATATCATGGGAATGTTCATCTATGAATAAATCTATTTACTAGAGTAGTCCAAATAAATTAATAGGATTATTAACGCATGTGCTTGCAAAATCAGCCTGTGATAGGAGGACAAAAATGTTGCTTGATAGCCTTGAGGATGTTACAAAATAAGAAGGGCTTATACTTGCTCTTTGAATTGAGAATCTAAAATACCACCTGATAACTGCCTTTATTATGAACAAACACAACCTGTGTTTATATTTACTTTAGAATGCAGAGATGCATTGTATATGCACACACACAAATGCATTCTTTATTGCTTATGAAAACAGCAAATGTAAGAGTTCTTTATTATACTGAATTAATAGTAATTGATAAATACATACAAGAAAAATATAAAGGGAACTTTTTTGCTTTCCAATAGATCTTTGTACTATTTTGTTGCAGTAAGAACAGTATAATTAAAAATGTCAACAAAAACTTTTGCAGTTAAACTGTGCTTTTGAAGAACTGAGATTATGTGGAAAAAAAAGAAAGGACAGGTCTTAGTGCCCTTTGGTTTTATGCAATGTAATATAATGGAGCACTTGTTTTGATTTCCTTAATTTTTTGCATGTTGAAATTATATTAACCTTGTGTCTGTGGTTATAAGGCTTAAAGCAATTCTTTTTCCAGTCTTTCAGCTCAGAAAGGAAACCGGCGCTTTTAAACTATGTTCATGTAGTCTGTTTTTACAGTGTTTTTCTTTGTGGTTTTGTTACATGAAGACATGGAAGTGTATCATCAACCTGATTTTGCTGAGGGAAGAAGTTCTTGTATGAGTACTCTGGTCAGCATGCCTTGCTGTATGAAATAAAAATCTCCCTTGGCTTTCTTCTAGGGTTCATTAATTTCAAATAATGAATTGGACCTTTTTATGCATAAACTTAAAAATTGCATTGAATTTTTCTTTTTACAGTAAGAGGGGAATTGAGATCATAGATTCAAGAAAGAAATGTAGTCAGTATTTTATTGAAGTAGGAGCATTTATTTTTATAGAATGCTGTTCATAAATGTTCATTATGAAAAATGAACGATCCGATAAGATTTTAGAGTATTCTACAGCAAAGTATGCTAGGGTGATGTATGCTACTAATGCAGAGGTGATAGCAAAAGACTGGAAAGCTTTTAGATAATCTAATCCATTTGTGTGTCCAGTGTTACAAAAATACTTTGCATTTTATACCTATATTGTACCTTCACTTGGACAAAATGCTAGAACAGTCTTCCAGTCCCTGCTGTAGTTCGTGGCTGGTAAAACTGTTCAAGAGCTCCAACATTTGCAGGTAAGTGCTGTGGTGAACAATTTAGTTTGCCTATCTATATTGCATTTCAGCGACATGTAAAACCAGATTAACATGATTTCAGAAGATAAGGGAACAGGAGTCCTAGGTGGAAGAGAAGTCAAAGATCAGACGTTTTAGGTGCTGTTATGATGGGTGTTTTACAAGGGTGTGCAGTGTTCATGCCTGTAAGCAGTGAGTGGCCTTACACAGGTGCAGTAAAGTACATTTTATGATTATATAAGAATATATTGAAAAGCAAATGCAATAATGTCACACCTTAACTACTGTCAACAATATCAAGCATTAAAAATGCCTGTGAGCTTGAAGAGGTTGATGTAGTTTTGATTAATAGCCAGTACAGTATATGGTAAAGTGTGATGAAGACATTAATACAGTGGCTCTAAAAGAAATTACTGCCTCTGTGTCTCTTTGGCTTAGCAAGAGTAAAATCATGATTTTTTTGTGTTTTTCTAAGAGCCAGCAGTTAAGCATTTATAAAGATAGCAAAGCAAGATTGCTTTGTTCAGTAACTATGTTCAGATTTCTGCTGTTCTCTTCCCCCCCATCCCAAGAGTAGAGATCAGTTTCTAAAGCCTTGCCAACTGCGTACTGAGAACAGAGTTGTTACAAGAGAAACATAACCCTTCACTGGACTCACTGCACAACAGTAGACTTGGCTTCTCTACCAGCCAGGGTTTCCCCTAACGCATTTCCTTTTCCTATCAGGGACAATATTTAGATTCTGCATATTGGGGTTTTTCAGTTGCAGTTAGCATGTTTCCTGAAATAACGTAAATTTGAAATTTTAGGATCTGTCCACAATGCACGCTAGAGCTTTTAAGAAATGCACTGAAAGTATGTCTGTGGATTTACACTGCACTGAATAACAAACTGTGTAATATTGTTACATATGGTATGAAATGTAGTAAAAACATTTCAGGCTTTATTTCCTTCCCAACCCCCCTTCTAATTTTAAACAACTAATATTAACTATACTATTACCATTGTAGTAATGTTCTTTGCGATAAAATTCTAACAGACATGAGAAAGTGTGTAATTTGTAAATAGGGAGTAATTTATACTGGTACTATTTAGTTCACCAAACTTACTACACCTGTATCATAGGCTTAAATAGTGTTCTGTAGCATGCGGTCACTAAGGATGTCACTGTTTAAGGTAACTGTTCTGTAAATAGATGACAAAAAAATGGAACTGTTGCCACTGTGTTTGAGTTTCTTTTCTCGTGCTCTTCAGTTATGTCTAATTTAACTTGGATTCTCTTTAACTCACTGAGAGTATGGCATGCATATGGGCTGCAGACTTGTGTTAAAAGTCTGTTAAGTATTCATGTGTTAATGTGCAGTGTGTTTACAATATTGACGAATGCTTTCTTATTTTTAGAAATTAATTCTCTCTATAGAAATGGCTTCATAGGGAGACCAATATTCTGACATATAGTGGGACATCTATACTACTGCATAGCATTGCACTACTTGTCAAATATGGGGTACCTGGTTTGCCCAGGTAAAATTGTTTCTCATTCTCCAGGGAAGCAGCAGCTCTGGCAGTCCACCAGGTACAACAGGACATAGAATTTCAAAATTGCAAAAAACATAACTACTGAAAGGTGTAACAATTAAAGATAATGGGAATGTGATTTGACAATGCTTAAAATTATTTTTTTGGTACCTTTAAAATAATGAGAAGTGAAATTATTATGAGCTAATCTACACTTAATGGAACTTCAGGCAGGTGTCCAGCGTAAAGAAAAGTAGCTTAGCTACTGTCTATCAGTGATGTACAATTACATTTGTGGGGAAAAGTTTTATATGCATTTTATTTATGTGTAGAAATGTTGTAAAAATGTGCGACTCAGATTAATTGTAGTAGTATTTTATAAGCACTGGAAGAAATACATTGATATTTTATTAAAATGCTTTTTCCCCTCCTGTTTTAGTTACCTACCATGGTTTGAGGTATACTACAAGCTCCTAAATACCCTGGCAGATTATTTGGCTAAAGAACAGGTAACTTTAGATATTCTATTTTCTTGTGTAAAATACTTTCCTTGAAATAATACCATTTGAAGTACTGTAAAGTGATTCTACACTGTTTAAAAGTTGCAAATTTTAATAGAATTTAGAAGCAAGTTTTTACATTCATCATATTGAAATTCAAAGAATCTAAATATACAGCTGCCACTGTCACTTGAATCCCCCATTAATCTTAAAAAGCTGCTGAGAATATACCTTTATAAAGTGTCAGTCTTAGCATAAACAAGTCCTGGGTGAAGTGTGAGCAGTGTCACATCACTGGAGATCTGTATGATGTATTGATTGTAAACTGTAGATCTCTGGAACTATCTGATTATCAGTTACAAACACTTTTTTTCAGAACTGCATAAAATATGATGTACTGTTTCACCCTTCATATTAACTGAAAACTACCTCTCGTAATTCTGTCACCTCATCTAGCAAGGCAAAATTACTTGCAGCATTTGGTGAAGAATCATGATAGTTTAGTTTGCATATTCATGAGCAATTAGACGTATTCCAGGATTATACAGGAAAGGAAATACTGACATCTGTCTTTACTGAGGATATTAAAGCTATACCTTTCTGCTTTAACTATGTTAATGTACTAGATTGTAATTAAAAAAATTATTTTTTTTTTTTTTTTAAAAAAGAAGCATCAATAGTCAGCCATATGCTGCGGACTGGAAAAGCTGACATTTCAAGAATATATGAACTACAGAATAAGCAATTATTGTGCATTATAGTAAATGGACTATAGACAATGATGGTATTTTGTGTAAAAAGAAAATGCAGTAGGAAAGTTTGGTGTTAGCTGTGTTTAAATGGTGTGGCATACATTTAAGTCTTAAATGGTATAATGAGAGTTTGGGTTTGGCCCTGATTTCACTGTAATAGTAAAAATTGTTATTAAGGTTGTATTTGACAAAAGGGGTAGGGATTGTCTTCTCCTTTGTTTCTTGATAACTGGTTCTGGCATTGCAGCTATTACTGCAACCAGTTCAAGTTGCTGGGTTGTAAGTTTGTTGTCCTGTATGCCGAGAAAACTGTTTTGATGGGTTAGAACGTTTTAGCAGTGTACGGAAGTATTTCATTGTATTGCCTAGTGCCATGTCTATTGCCGAGGATGCTGTTGGAGGGCATTGCTCCCTCTGGGCCCAGGCACTGTTCATCTGACCAAGAGCTAGACCTAAAGTCTTGTTTACTGGTATGAGATCCGGTAACATCATCGTTCTTGCAAGGGAGAGGCTGAAGCTTCCTTCAGACTCAAACAATGTGTTTAAAAGCTGGCCCTGACTTGTCACTGATATTTTTACTTCTACTTTGACAACAAAAAGAATTTAATCTCCATGAGCAAAAAACCTAAATTGAATGAAAACTCTACATCGAACAAAAACTCCAGCTGCATCTCTTTCTCAAGTAAATGTCTCTTTTAGAGGTCAAGGTGGAGGATCCCAGTTAAACCTGGTTGCTGCATGTACTTTTTACTAAACCTTATTAACTGTTTTATGTGCTCTGATGAATCATTTTTAAAGTATACAATAGAGCTGTGTAGCTGCATATTTAGAATATCTTTGATTAGATGAATATCATGGCTAACAGTTTTAGGAAGATGATGTCCAAGATGCGGAGACCAGCTAGACGTTTAACACTGTTTTCAGTTGCAAATAGTGTGATTCATTTAAGGAGTATATGGGGAAGTATGTAAGAGATTGACTTAACTTGCAGATACAGTCGTTCTCTGAGATACAAAGTTGACCTGAATTTTATACTTAATATTTAAATACTTCATTGCAAATTGCAATTGTCTTTCTCCCTAATACATATGTATATATCTTTGTCAATATATAGTTTGATGTGTAGTAAATGGTAATTAGTTTTTATACAATAGTTAACTACCTTTAAAAAATATTCCCTATAGGAAAATGACTCGAATGATTTGTTAAAATCATTGTATAACCATCCTGTGCCAAAGGCGAACGCTTTAGTCAGTTTAAGTGTGGTAAGTATTTTCTGTTTAACTCCTAGTCCTGTTACTGACTATAAAATAGTAGGTAGGGTTGAAACGATAAAAAAACCCAACCTTTGTAAAGAGTAAACTTATATTGCTTCCCATCATTAACTGGCTTGGATGACCTTTTTTTTTTTTTTCTCGTCTGTGCAGAATAGAGTTTGTCTCTGTCTCATGTTGTTATCTTAAAGTCATAGTCATAAAGAAGCAGAAATTTGAATTTTGCTCTATGCATGAGAAAATAAACTGCAGTGGGATCTGGCAGTGCTAGAACTACATTTTTTTGTGCTTCCAGCTGTGTTGTGTAGATAATTTTGGTTTCTCCTGCTGTGAATCAGGAGACACTAACTCTTTTTTATTGCCTCTTATGTCTGAGTAGGTAGACTTGCAGGATTGGACAAAAGTCTGTCAGCTGGCTTCTTTTCCATTTTCTTTCCTCTTCTTTCTAGTTTTGCTTGATCATGGAAAAATGCCGTAGGAATGATGGTAGGAGAAGTGTACTGCATTACATGAAACTTTGAGCACGTCTAGGTGAAACATGTCCATGCCTACCTTGCTTTTGTGCTCCAACTTTTTGTGATCTGGGACTGGACGTTGATAGTATAGCAAGGTGGTGTTGCCACAGAAACATCAAAAAGTGAGCCTGTCACTGTTATGGTTCCTGAAGTTTTTGACAGAAATAGCATATGGACACGTTTAAATACATTTGTAGAACCTGCATGAAATGTAAAGCCAATACAAAGCCTCTTCTGTCTCCAAGATACTGTTCACGTTCACAGCATCTGTACAGTTACTGCACGCATAAGTAGCTCTGTGCAAATAACTGTTTCTTCATTGAACTATCACAGTTTACAGGGTACGGAAAGAAGTGATTTTGTAAAGGCTTCCCTTACGCACATACTGAAAGATCATCAGATTATTTATCTTGACCTTATTTGTGTCACTTCCTGTTACTTTTAACTAATTTGTTTTAGAATTGAGCCCAATACTTTGACTAAAGTAAGCACAGATTCTAGAAAAGCATCTGGTGCTATTATGGAGGCATACAAAGATGGAGAGTCTACCACTTCCATTCCAGTAGTTACTCACCCTTGCTGCTTAACTTAATGCTACGTTTATTTTATTCTAATTTGTCATATGTCAGATTCCTTGTTACGCTTTTTTTTTGCTAGGCTATGCAGGCCTAAATTTTTGCCCCCTTGAACAGTGCTAATCCACTGTATTTGGAAGTCCTTCCAGTCTTGTGTGTTGTTTTTCACCAGAAAAATATACTGGTTTTTGAGGCTGCAGTCAGAATGGTTTCTGTTGCTAAGTTTTTTCTTTCTCTTGTCTGTGTAATATTTTAAGTTATTTTCCAGTTCATTGTACCTTTGCCAAGAATACTTCTGTATATCAAATAATATTTTGCTATAATTAATTGCAGTATTGTAGCCAATTCTAATATGACAATCCTAAAATGCTTATAAAGTCCTTTAAAAATCCTGCTGTGTTTCAGAGGGACATAGAGAAGTTTTAAAGATGGTTTTCCTTGCGTTTCTGGCAAAGTGTTACTGCCTGTTGCTGTCAGTGTTGCAGGTCATCTTGCACAGAACTTGCCTACCTCAAAATGAATGTTGAGATGAACATGGAAATGGATGTTGTAGTGAATACAGCTGGCAACACTGGGATGACATATTGCTTGCAGTGAAGTGATGCTTGCTGGTTTTATTTCAATATTATCTGACTTTTGAGAAATTTTTTTTTCTCAATTGTCTGTTATTCCCAGTAGCTCGTTATATCAAAGAATTTTGTAATCTTTTTAGCTGAACAGTGATTATCTAAATGCAGGCCTCTTCCTCTGTGCTTGGCTGCAGGTACAGTCGCGCAAATATTGTGGGCTCAGACGGGGCAGAGCAGGAAGGAATAGGTCAGCCTGAATCTGAATGCTTCTTGGATCTATGGGCATCTCCGTTTTTGTAATGCTCAGTGCTGCAGGGAGCAGGGAAATGTTCATGGCCATTTTCTATTCTTAACTTTGTGTACCTGGTCTTTTATATTGATGTTCCTATCTTGCTCCTCATATACTATAAATAAGCTAGACTGGAACCGTCAGTAGTAATAGATTTAAAAAGAAGTTACAGTCTGAAAAATAATTATGGAAATGACATCGTGAGGTGGCTTTTCATTGTGCCAGGATGAGTCTAGTCCAAATTTCATGAGGCAGAATTAAAAAGATCCCTCCTCCCATTTACTCGGGTATGCTGCAGGGTAAGGCTCGTAGACGTTGAAGCAGGGTTTAGATGACAGACCGCAGTGGAATTTAGGATTGCACATATATAATTGTGAATAAATTACGCCCAGTAGCTGGATACATGGTGTTTCCCAGTAATCCTTGGTCAGGAGGACACCAGTTAGGGACCAAGTTCTACTCTCACCTGTCGGTCTTAGTAACAGATATTCTGCAGCTGAAATTTGTGAGGTGGGATCATTCATTCTATGAAACCTGAGCTTAAATGTAATTTGGGTCCCTTTTGTTAGCCCTCTATGGGTAAAATCGAAGTGATTTTTCTTTTTTCTTTTTTCTTTCTTTTTTTTTTCTTTTTTTTTTTTTTCTTTTTTCCTGCCTTTTTTTTTTTTTCCCTGCTTTTTCTTCTTGGCTAAGTTAAGTCTGAATTCAAATGGAGGAGGAATACAAAGAATAAAACATTTTCAGCCAGTATTTTGAACTTTGAATGTTACAAGCATTAGAATCAGCTTTGACCTTTTTGTTGGAAAACTAAAAAAATCCATTGTTCAATCTCTCTCTCATCTTGCATAAGAACCAAGAGATGATATTTGCAAGTGAGCAAGTTTTGAAAAAACAGCCTTGTCTTGTATCGGTGAGTTTAAAAGGCACTGACTGTCTAAAGCCTATTGTAATTAAAGAAGTAATTACTTGCTATAGGATATCTCTTTTTTATTTCAGGCTTATTTATACCTGTCCTTTGGGAAATTTTGCTGCTGTGTTTAGCCTAAAAGAGCAGTCTAATATTAATGTACCTATTCTGTTTAAATCAATCTAACTTCAGAGCTATGTGTCTGTGTGGTAATCCTTTTGTAAAAACCACAGCCAAAATCAAACCCTTAAATTGATGAACAAAACTTGCATTTTCTAGTGTCCTTGTTACAGAAAAGTTTATACAGGACAGCAACGATTAATTTAGTATCTCTTCCAAGGTCATGTGTCTTCCTAAGGGAGTTCACAAAGATGTGCAAGGACTCTATACCACATTATTTTTGCTGCTTTATGACTCTTAATGACTGCAGTAATGGGTCTTTGCTTCTCGTAGTTCTGACTTCCTTTTCTGTTTAATGAGTGAAATATTATTACTTTGTTAATTATAAATAATTACTTCTCTAAGTTATTAACGTCATTACTTGGAATCTTTTGATAAATATTCTGTGACCTTATTACATATAGGAAATAATTTTCTGTTCTCACTATACTTCTGAAGAATGTAGGCATTCCATTAATCTGAATATTTTCCTGTTCTTGAGTAGAGAAAAAAAATCTTAGCTTTTTTTTCTCTGTTGATGCAAAACAATAACCTGGGATACTTACTGTGCAAGTGCTATGATGTTTATGGGATGCCTTTTTTTAAGCCAATTTTTTTTTTCTTAAGTTTTTAACTATTACCAAATGACCTAATTTGTGGGGAAAAATTTCTATTAAATGTATCAAGCTGGTTTAATATGTCTCCTACACGGAGTTAATAGTATTAATAAATTTTCTTTTTTTTTTTTCTTGAACACAAGACACATTTAATATCTTATAGATTTCCTTTATGTTTTGGTATATCTTTTTCAAGTTTGACTGAAAACAAACTGTGTCTTTGTGGTGTTAATTATAATTTTAAAAGACACTATAAAAACAAAGAAAGGCTACGAAAAATGTCAAAATTCCATTAAAAACAAGTAAAAGCTAGAAAGTTGATAATTACCACATTTACTTAGTATGTAGTTAAGGTTTTTTTTGTCCTTCAAGATTTAGTCTAATATGCAAAAATACCTTAAAATTACTGGTCTAAATCCATGTCTGATAACTACTAAAAGCACTGGATTAATGAGAATAATTTAAATTACATCTGTTTTAAATTTAATCCATTTTATATTTACGTCCTAGATGGCCTCAAAGTAAGATGCATAGAATTGCTAATATATTTCATAAACTATTGCGGAATCTCAAGCTGTCAGACTTTGCATTTCTGTTAGTACATTTTTGATTCAAAGATGTTTGGAAAGAGAAGAGAATGTATATCAAGTAATAATATTTCTATTCTAATTAATTTTCTCATGTGAATAGTTTTTCCTTTTCCATTCTAAATTTACATTTTGTCCTTTAACTTTTTTTCTTGTTGTTGAGATTTTTAAATCAATGCTTAATTTAATCAATGCTACTCTCAGGCTTGTGACAAAATTTAAAGCTGGCTTAATTTCAGTGTTATTTCAAAACTGCAGCCCAGCTTTTTGTTCCCTTGGTTTGTGTGCTGTACTGAACCAAGGTTTGTCATTTCGTGTCGTGATCTGCTTAATTCTTTGTCTGGTAGTGGTAAGAATGCTATTGGAAAAAATGGCTATTTGCTTAAACAAAGATGAGGTTGGAAATCCTAAATGCTGGATTTGTTAAAAAAGAATTTTTGGTTTCTGTGTGCATAAATTATTAATTATTTTTCCCCATTGATTAGCACTCGTATTTCATTACTCCTGATACAACTGGATTGCCAACAATCCCTGAAAGCGTAAGTATGAAGTTTCTTTTTTAAATATTTAGGAGAATTATCAACCTCATTCTGTGGGTAGGGCTGAACTTTGCTTTTATCAATATGAGATGGTTTTTTTCCAAGACTGTTTTTAGAGTGATTGATGTCTGTTATTACAACCTTTAGCTAGTAGTTAACTGTTCCATTCATCATTAACCCATTTTAAAGCATTAACGTGACATTTTTGACCACTGCCATATCCACCCTTTGTTCATAATTATTTGGCTTGTTTGCAGTTATTTAGATTATTTACGTAAAATATGTTCTGCTTCTGCACCTTGTGTTATTTGAATACCTGCCCTTTAAACACTGTATTGCCAAGCTGCAAATTCAGCTATCAAGATATGAAGTTATTTTTTGTGTAAGAAGGCATTGTTTGAGGCTATCTGAAACCATGCAGTACCTGCTTACATTTGCATGGTAACCATGCACAGAGGTGGTGGTGTTTTTTTTTTTTTTTTGGGGGGGGGGGGTTGGTGTGGGTTTTTTTTTGTTTGTTTTTTTGTTTGTTTTTGTTTTGTTGTTGTAGTATGGGGTTTTTTTTTTTGTCATGAAGACTTGCATTCTGTAGATGCTAAATCCTTGATAGTGCTGTGGGTAGATTGCAAATGTGAAATCTCAGATCACGTTCTTTATGATACGTTTATCTGGATAACATCTAATAAAAGAGCTTTGAAACTTTCTACTTTCCACTCTTGCATTTAAATGTGGAATTGAATATGGATGTATAGATGTGCCCTTTTACACTTTGAAATAATAACTTCCTTCTGAAAGTTAAACTGTTGGGGGGGTTCACCACAGTGCAAACTCATGCAATACTGCAGAACTCTCTCTTGATAGTTGTGATGGAGTTTGTGCAGCAAGTGTGACAGAAGTGTGCTTGCAGCCTTGGCGGTGGTGGTGGGGAGAGCGTCCTGATCGGTCCTGATCGCCCGCTCCCCACCTCTGCGCTGCGGGTGAGAGGGGAGGCTGTGCCCCTCAGCGGCTCCTGGGCCACAGGGTGGGATGGGCACGGGAGGGAAACAGAGCTGGGGAAACCTTGGCTGGTGAGGAGCAGAGAGGCGGCCTGTGGGTACATCTGTGGTGGTGGAAGGGAGGCTGTGCCAGGGGCCCAGAGGAGATGGCGCGGCCCTTGTTGCCACCCAGAAAGCTGCGGAAAGTTTCTGGATAGAGGAGTAAAAGAGAGGACCCTTGTTGCAAGGGCTCTTGGGTAGGCCAGGGCTTAGTTTTAAACATTTGTTTTCATCCATTTCACCCTACAGGTTGAATTCCTCTGTTTTAAAGACTCCTCTTGTTCTAGTTTATTATTTGGGGTTCTAATAAAACACAGCTTTGGAGGTTAGAAGGTGTGTTATTTGTTCAACTTGAAGTAAATGTGAGGAAACTTCACTCTGGGCCTCTGGCTGATGGAGGATCTTGCGATGGTGCCAATGTGGTTTTATTTTGCTGATTCTGTGGGAGAAAGGAAAAGTAGTTTTTAAGGTGCTTTTCTATAATTATTTTTTACTCCATTTATAAAAGTCTTATCTTTCCAGTATGAGTCAAAATAGTGTGGTACTAATGGAGGGTTAGAACATGTGGGGAATGAAGAGATGAGGTAATTACAGTAAATGAGTAATAAAATGAATTTTCATATTCTTTGTTGTAGGATTCATATATTTCAGGGGCAGTGTCTTTTCAGATGTAATGCAGGAATAACTGTGACTGTCTCCTAAAGATATGTTGGTCTGTACAAGGTTGCAAGCTGTTTTTACCACAGCTTTTGCAACACAGAACCAGCATACTGTTATCAACAACAGTGTTAGAGGGTGTCCGAGGTAAATTAGACTCAAATTATCATGGTGCATCAGCCTCTGACAACCAGTTAAAAGCAGCACTTGAAAGACCAGAGTTTCTTTCTAGATGGAGTGTTTGTAGCCTTAAAGTTCTTGGTTTCTCTCTCTTCCAAAATTTTATGCAACGTGGACCAAGAATAACTCTATACTCCATGTCCTAGAATTAATGCATTTCTGAATTTACATGAAACTGGATCATCTGTTGGATCTTCGTTTGTCTTTCCAATATGCTTTTTTGTTTAACATTGCATTATATCCAAAAAAGAGGTCAACTTTCTGATCATCAGCTGGGCTTTAGTTAAAGTTAGCTTTTCATAATGTAGAGTCTGTAAGGAAATAAACTAGCAGCTGGTGAACAGCAGCTGTGCCCCATGCCGTGCTCCCTGGCTGTGGAGGGCTGGGAGCCGGGAACGCCGCAGCCGGCTACCATGTCCCGGCCCCCATGGGGGGTTGCTGGCGGTCAGCGGGATCACCCCGCTCTCAAGCCTTTACCACTGGTCTTGCCCTCGCTGTTTTTTCAGGGGTGCATTACCTTGCTGCCATGTGTTGGCCACATCCAGAACAGAGTAGCAGTTCCACTGTTCAGATATCCTTAGGTTGGGGCATATAGTTGATAGACCTCCTACATTAATGTTTAGTAGTATGTCATTCCTGAGAAGAGATGAATAAGAGTTCTGGTTGCAGATCCCATGATAACAAATGTGTGAAATTAAATGTTTTGTATATTGTGGGGTGTATTATCTCTAACGTTTACAAAAATTTGCCGTTTTCCTAGGCGTTTTTGCTGGTAGCTGGTTAAGCTTACTCAGAACTTGCATGTTTTTTGGCAAAGTACCATGCAGGAATACTGTTAAGTTCAGCTGGAACACAAAGATCCTCCCCCTCTCCCCCTTTTCTCTTTCCCCCCCCACTTCTGTGTTGTCTGAACTATAAATAAGAGGTACTGGTGACTTTGCTTTTCATTAAACCCCGCAGTGGGAATCACAGAATTGATTTGGTTGGAAGAGACCTCTCAGATCATTGAGTCCAACCTTTGCCCTACCACCACCATGTCAACTAGACCATGGCACTAAGTGCCACTTCTAGTCTTTTCTTAAAGACCTCCAGGGATGGTGACTCCGCCACCTCCCTGGGCAGCCCATTCCAATACCTAAAGACCCTTTCTGTGAAGAAATGCCTCCTAATGTCTAACCTGAACATCCCCCTGGTCGAACCTGTGCA